ACCATAAACACTAAACAGTATGTTGTTAAAAAATGTTGACCAAACCAAAAGCCATTTTTTTTAAATTATGAGTAAACTTTAACTATTAAGTAGATAATTTCACCATCTCCTTCTCTTACTCTGCTAATATCAAATTTAGTTCTGAGTCTTCCCTATCCTAGCTGAAAGCTTTTTATTTATTTATTCTTTTTGTAATTAGGTACAAGATTTTTATGTATTTATTTATTTTAAATTATGTTCTGAGGAGCATGAGCTGGACTGTGACAAACAGTCCAGGAGCCACTGTTTTTGTTATTTTTACAAAGAGAGCAGTGATTAAAGTTAAAGGTCACAGTAGCAAAGCCAGACAAATATGAGTTAACTAAGGTTATCTTCCTCTGTCAGGATGGCGCTTCAGTAAGCTATCTCCTGCTGACATTGTTTCTCTAACCAAGGTCAGAGCTTCATTGTAGCATAATTGCTTAATTGAAATAATCAGGCTTGATTAGTTTATGGCTGAGGAAGAATTGCTCATTAGGAGAATCAATTCTTGTGGAAATTACATACATTAGGTGTTCCAAACAGCTTTTCTCTAATGTAAGTCTCTGCATCTGTTATAAATGATGCATGAATGATGTCTGATTGTAGCAGTGTGTTGGAAATGTTAGGAGAGCTATTTCAAATTATTGCAATATTTTGTTTTTGCTGTTTGGTTTTCCATTTATGTACCATTTATCTATATGAACAACCAGGGTTTAAATTGTGTATGTTGTTTCAAACCTTAAGAGCATGGGGGAAATAAAAAAAATTTATAGGTGATCTTGTTTCCACAGGTGGTGAGGTCGTACCCGGCGCTCCGGACGGAGCAGCGGGTCATGGAATGGGCCAGGCGGATGAAAACGAGGAAGTGATGCGCGCCCTGCTCATCCACGAGAAGAGGGCTAATCCAGGAGCAGGTGGAGGTGGAGCGAGCTCTGCTGCCAGGGGTCTTGCCTCGGCCACAGCTAATAGTGACTCAGAGAGCGACACTAGTGARTCAGACGACGATTTCCCCCCGGGTCCTCCAACTGCCACGGCCTCTCAGCATCGCGCTGACAAAGAGGACGAAGAAGAGGATGACGATGACTTTGAGGAGGTGGGGGATGAGCCCATGGTGATGGTGGGAGGTCGGCCCTTCTCGTACAGGGAGGTGAGCCTAAGGCCAGAGTTAGTGGAGCAGATGTCTGTGCAGGAAAAGGAGGCGTATATAGAAATGGGACAAAACCTCTTCCAGGACATGTACTTTTAAAATTCTCAACCCCAAAATACAGTTTGACAAATGTTTCTGTTTGTCCCACATCATCAGTGRTGATGGGGACAATGGTTACCAACAGATGTTTTTAAAAAACAAAAAGAAAAAAAAATGCTGCTGAGTACTTTATGTTTTATTGGAAAACAAACAAAAAAATAAGAAAACTGCCAGTGTTTCTGCTGTGATCACACTTTTAGTATTCTGTTTAAAGTATTTTGGAAGTAACCAAGCCTAACGGAAGCTGGCTGCCTGCAGAGTGCCAACAATTTTTTTTTTAGTTTTTCTATTTAATTTTAGCTCCACATTCAACAGTTTGTCTACACCACTTTTGTTTTAGCCTTAGTTTTCATGTGACAGACAGAAGGGACACACATTTGTTTTAATCTATACACCTGTCCACACTCAGGCTGAATATCTTACACCTCAAGGCAGTTTTCTTAAATGGGTGTAATTTCATTGATTGTGTGAGAATTGCCAAAAGATTTCAGAGCATTTAACAGTACGGAGGCTGGACATGCTAAAAGACTGAACAAGCTGCTGCTGTTTTCACTGTGCTGCCTGTTAGGACAATGTGAAAGAACGTTTTCTGTTTTTTTTTTTCTGCAACTCAACAGGCTCGGTTTTAAAATCCCATCTCAGGCAAATGTAAAGAAATTTTTTTTTTTTTAGGTTGTTGTGTTAACAGTGAAATATTTGTAATTTTCACCAATCTGTAATAAAATGATATTCTCTGCCATGGAAATGTGAAATTAATGTCTCAATATAAAATAACATCAGTGTCAAGWACAGAGTGCTGTACCTTTTTGATTCACATGGAGTTTAAAAAGTACCTACATGCAAAAAAAAATGTGTGTGTGTGTGT